CTTTTTTGTTTGCCAATTTAATTTCCTTTGGGTAAATTCCAAGGAGTGGGATGGCTGGGTTGTATGGTAAATTTATATTCAGGTTTCTGAGGAATCTCCAGACTGACTTCCACAGTGGCTTTACCAGTTTGCATTCCCAAAAAAGTGTCCCTTTTTGCCCACATCCTCGCCAGTATCTGTTGTTGGTAGATTTCTACCAGTGAGCAATTCTAACTGGGATGAGGTGAAACCTCATTGTGCTTTTGATTTGCATTTCCATGATTGCTAGTGATCTTGAACATTTTTTCATGTGCCTGTTGGTCATTTGGATTTCCTCTTTTAAAAAATATCTATTGAGGTCCTTGGCCCATCTCTTAAGTAGGTTGTTTGTTTTGTTTTTTGGAGTTTTTTGATCTGTTTGTAGATTCTGGTTATCAGCCCTTTATCTGTTGCATAGTTTCCAAATATTTCTCACAGTTTTCTCATCACATTCTTTTTTTTTTTTTTTTTTTTGATAGGCAGAGTGGACAGGGAGAGAGACAGAGAGAAATGTCTTTCTTTTCTGATGGTTCACCCTCCAATGGCCGTTGCAGCTGGAGCACTGCGGCCAGCGCACCACGCTGATCTGAAGCCAGGAACCAGGTGCTTCTCCTGGTCTCCCATGCGGGCACAGGGCCCAAGGACTTGGGCCATCCTCCACTGCAATCCCGGGCCACAGAAGAGAGCTAGACAGGAAGAGGAGCAACCGGGACAGAATCCAGTGCCCTGACTGGGACTAGAACCCAGTGTGCTGGTGCCACAGGAAGAGGATTAGCCTGTTGAGACTCAGCACTGGCCTACATTCCTGACTGTTTCTTTGGCAGTACAGAAACTTCTTAATTTGATGCAACCCCAAAAGTTAATTTTGGTTTTGACTGCCTGTGCCTCTGAGGTCTTTTCCAAGAAGTCTTTGCCTGTGCCTATATCTTGCAGGGTTTCTCCAATGTTCTCTAATAAGTTGATGGTCTTTAACCCATGTTGAGTGAATTTTTGTGAAAAGTGAAAGGTAGGGGTCTTTCTTCTTGCTTCATGCTTCTGCATGTGGAAATCCAATTTTCCCAGCACCATTTATTGAATAGACTGTCCTTACTCCAGGGATTGGTTTTGGATCCTTGATCAAATTTAAGTTGGCTGTAGATGTTTGAATTGACTTCTGGTGTTTCTATTCTGTTCCATTGTTCTATCCATCTGTTTCTGTACCAGTACCATGCTGTTTTGATAACAACTGCCCTGTAGTATGCCCTGAAATTTGATATTGTGATGCCTATGGCTTTCTTTCTGTTATACAAGATTGCTTAAGGTATTCGAGGCCTCCTATGTCTCCATATGAATTTCAGCATCATTTTCTCCAGGTCTGAGAAGAATGTCTTTGGTATTTTGATTGGTATTGCATTAAATCTATAAAGTGCTTTTGGGAGAATGGACATTTTGATGATATTGATTCTTCCAATCCATGAGCATGGAAAATTTTTCCATTTTTTGGTATCATTTTTTATTTCTTTCTTTAAGATTTTGTAATTCTCATTGAAGAGATCTTTAACGTCCTTGGTTAAGTTTATTCAAAGGTATTTGATTGTTTTTATGGCTATTGTGAATGGGATTGATCATAGCATTTCTTTCTCAGCCATGACATTGCCTGTGTATACAAAGGCTGTTGATTTTTGTGCGTTGATTTTATACCCTGCTACTTTGCCAAAATCTTCTATGAGTTCCAATAGTCTCTTAGTAGAGTTCTTTGGGTCCCCGAAATAAAGAATTATATCATCTGCAAAGAGGGATAGTTTGAGTTCTTCCTTCCCAATTTGTATCCTTTTAATTTTTTTTTCTTGACTGATGGCTCTGGCTAAAACTTCCAGAACTATATTGAATAGCAGCTGTGAGGGTGGGCATCCCTGTCTGGTACCAGATCTCAGTAGAAATGCTTCCAACTTTTCCCCATTCAATAGGATGCTTGCCGTGGGTTTTTCATAAATTGCTTTGTTTGTATTGAGCAATGTTCCTTCTATACCCAATTTTCTTAGAGTTTTCATAATGAAAGTGTGTTGAATTTTATTGAATGCTTTCTCTGCATCTATTGAGATAATCATATGGTTTTTCTGCTGGAGTTTGTTAATGTGGTGTATCACATTGATGGTTTTGTGCACATTAAACCATCCCTGCATACCAGGGATAAATCCCACTTGGTCTAGATGGATGATCTTTCTGATGTGTTGTTGCATTCTATTGGTGAGAATTTTATTGAGGATTTTTGTGTTTATTTCATCGGGGATATTGGTCTGTAGTTTTCTTTATATGCTGAATGTTCTACCGGCTTAGGGATTAAGGTGATGCTGGCTTCATAGAAAGAATTTGGGAGGATTCCATCTTTTTTTTATTTTTTTGAATAGTTTGAGAAGAATTGGAGTTAGTCCTTTTTTACATTCTGGAAGAATTCAGCAGTGAATCCATCTGGTCCTGGGCTTTTCTTTGTTGGGAGGGCCTTTATTACTGTTTCAATTTCTGTTTCAGTTATGGGTCTGTTTAGGTTTTCTATGTCTTCCTGGTTCAATTTAGGTAGGATGTATGTGTCCAGGAATCTATCCATTTCTGATAGATTTCCCTGTTTGCTGGCATACAACCCTTTGTAGTAATTTCTGATGATTCTTTTTATTTCTGTGGTGTCTGTTGTTACATTTCCTTTTTCATCTCTGATTTTATTGATTTGGGTCTTTTCTTTTTTTAGTTAGTTGGGCCAATGGGGTGTCAATTTCATTTATTTTTTTCAAAAAAACAGCTCTTCGTTTGGCTGATTTTTTGTAATTTTTTTGGGGGGGATTCAATTCTGTTGATTTCTTCTCTGGTTTTAATTATTTCTCTTCTAATAGATTTGGGTCTGGTTTGCCGTATTTTCCAAATTCTTGAGATGCATTGAATGCTTATTTATTTGGTGCCCTTCCACTCTCTTGATGTAGGCACCTCTTGCCATAAACTTTCCTCGTAACACTGCTTTTGCTGTTTCCCACAAGTTTTGATATGTTGTGTTGCTATCCTCATTTATTTCCAGAAAGTTTTTGATTTCTCTTTTGATTTCTTATATGACCCAGTGTTCATTCAGGAGCATGTTGTTCAATCTCCATGTGTTTGCATATACTCTAGGGATTCCTGAGTTGTTAATTTCCAGCTTCATTCTACTGTGGTCTGAGAAGCTGCGTGAAGTGATTCTAATTCTTTTGAATTTGCTGAGACTTGCTTTATGGCCTAGTATGTGGTCAATCCTAGAGTAGCTTCCATGTACTGTTGAGAAGAATGTAAATTCTTTAAGTGTAGGATTAAAAGTTCTGTAGATATCTGTTAGATACATTTGGGCTATAGTGTCGTTTAAATCTGCTCTTCCCTTGTTGATTTTCTGTCCAGTTGATCTGTCTATTTCTGAAAGTGGATGATTGTAGTTCCTCAATACTATTGGATTTTCTTCCTTTACCTTCTTTCATATTGATGACTGTGTTTCTATGTGTAGCACATTTAAGCATGTTTTGCAGGGCTGGACGAGTGGTGACAAATTCTTTCAATTTCTGTTTGCTCTGAAAGGTCTTTATTTCACCTTCATTCACAAATGAGAGCTTGGAAGGATATAATATTCTGGGCTGGCAGTTTTTCTCTCTTAGTACCTGGGCTTTATCTCGCTATTCCCTCCTAGCCTGTAGGATTTCTGCTGAGAAGTGAGCTGTGAGTCTAATTGGAGATCCTCTGAGAGTAATCTCACATTTTTCTCTTGCACTTTTTAGGATCGTTTCTTTATGTTTCACTGTGGTGAGTTTGATTACAACGTGTCATTGTGAGGATCTCTTTTGGTCTCATTTATTAGGGGTTCTAGGAGCTTCCTGTACTTGAATGTCTCCATCCTTCTCCAAACTCAGGAAGTTTTCTGCTAGTATCTCACTAAAAAGGCCTTCTCCTTTCTCTCTCTCCATGCCTTCAGGAACTCCTAGAACCCACATGTTGGGTTTTATGATAGTATCCTGTAGATTCCCCACAATATTTTTTAGATTTCTAATTTCCTTTTCTTTTCTTTGGTTTGACTGTATACTTTCTTGTTCTCTGTATTCTAAATGTGATATTCTCTTTTCTGCTTCATTCATTCTGTTTGTAAAGCTCTCTAATTTGTTTGCCATTTGATCTATTGAATTCTTCATTTCATTATGATTTCTCTTCACTATCACAGTTTCATGTTCTACTAGTTATTGCATTTCATTTTGATTCCTCCTTAATATTTCATTTTCATGATAAAGATTTTCTATCCTGTCCAGTAAGGATATCTGTAGTTCAAGAATCTGTTTTTGAGATCTTCTTAATGTTCTTATCAATTTTTTGAGATCCATTTCTTGCATTTCTTCTATCTTATCATCTTTATAATCTTGAATTGGGGTGTCTTGTTCATTTGGGGCATCATAGTGTCTTCCTTGTTCTTGTTTCCTCGGTTTCTGCATCTGTTGCTTGGCATTGTGGAGATATTCTTTAGTTTCTTTGCTGTAGTGGTTTTTCTCATTATACTATGACTCTAGATTAAGTGGACTGTCTGCTTTTGATGGATCCTTAGAGGCTGTGATGGGTGTGGCCAGAGAGCTCTGTTTGGTTCTTCAGGGTCAAGGGTGTGCCAAAGGTGACTCACCCAGGTTGTTTCTCTCTCTCTCTCTCTCTCTCTCTCTCTCTTAACTCAGAAGGGAAGTAATTCCACACAGCTGAGCAGAATTGAGGGTAGTCAATATCTGAAATCTGCCCCCCAGTGGCTATAATATTCATCTGTTCTGCCCCAAGGACCACACAAAGGGTCTATGCAGTGCTCAGTGTAATCTCAAATTTCTCTCCAGTCTCCCACCAGGTTGCCAAGGTTACCAAGTTTGTGTACATCATGAGTTCTCTTGCCCATCCTCAGATTTTCAGTCTCAGTTCATTAACTCCACACCTTCACTAGGTCCTAACCTACTGTTATTTCTCCCCACCAGAGTCAGGATTTTCTGCTTGGCTGATGGCAGGCACCTGCTCTTTGTCTTGATTGCCTTTGTAAGGTGAGTGGAGAGAGAGGCTCTTGTCTGTGCTGGTCCTATTTATTTATTTATTTATTTATTTATTTTTCTCCTCTAGGTAGCCTGGTGAACTTTCCCCAGTGGGGCTTCAAGCCTCGTTCCCTCTAGGCTCTTTCTGCCGTTTCCCGGCCATTGTCTTGGGCTACTGAGGTTTTGCCTCACCTCCCCTTCCAGCGTTGGTGCATAGACTCCGCCGCTGGGCTCCTGAGCCATGGGTGTCCTTGCTCTCCCCTTAGGTCCTCCGGGTCACATCCACTAGATCCGAAAGAGTTTCCTCTGCAACTTTTTTCCCGAGCCTTTCCCTGAAACTACAGTAACTCCCCTTTTATTAAACTATCTTTTCCTGGACTATCAGTGTGTACCCTCACTATTCCACCATCTTGGCTCCACCCTCTTTTGACGTCTTTGACAGTAAAATATGTAGAACAAATTGATTTTATTTTAATTATTTCAAATTTATCCTTGTTTTATTGCTTGTGCTTTGGCTTCATATGTAATAAATCATTGCCTAACTCAAGGTCACAAAGGTGAAGATTCATGGCTATGTTTTCTTCCAATAATTAAAATTTTAGCTCTTGCATTTAGCTGGAATACTCATTTTGAATTACTTTCAGGAAATAGTGTGAAAAAAAAATTTGATTTCATCCCTCTCCATTTGGATATAGTTAACTTAGTATCTTTTTTCAAAATCTTTTTTTAAGATTTATTTATTTATTTGAAAGGCAGAGTTACAGATAGGCAGAGACAGAGAAAGAGAGAGAGAGAGAGAGAGGAGAAAGAGAGAGAGTCTTCCATCTGCTGGTTTACTCCCCTGATGGCCACAATGGCCAGAGCTGCACTGATCAGAAGCGAGGAGCCAGGAAATTCTCTGTGTCTCCCACATTGGTGCAGGGGCCCAAGGACTTGGGCCATCTTCCACTGCCATCCCAGGCCACAGCAGAGAGCTGGATTGGAAGTGGAGCAGCCGGGACTCGAACTGGTGCACATATGGGATGCTGGCACTGCAGGCACCAGCTTTACCCACTATGCCACAATGCCGGCCCCAGCTTAGGATAATTTTTAAGTAAGATATTCATTCATAATAAAATGTATTGGCAGTCTTATTGAAACTCAGTTAACCATATTTATTTCCAAACATTCAGTTCTACTTCATTGATGTACCTGTCTTTTCTTATGCCAACACAACATTGTTGTAATTTCTTTAACTTGTTAGTCAGCTTTTAAATTAGAAAGTACAGCTCCTTCACATTGAACAAATTCTGTAGGATTATTCTGGCTTCTCTGAGTCCCCAGAATTTATATTTAAATTTTAGAGCCACTTTTTAATTTTATCCCAATAGGCAGTTGGGATTTTGGTGATGAATTGTATTGAATCTATAGATCAACAAAGAATATATTGCCGTCTTATTAATATTAGATTTTCCAACTCATAAACCTAAAATACTCTTACATTTGTAACTTACTTAATTTCTTATATACTGTTCTGTAGTTTTAAGTGTTGAATCCTTGTACTAATTTAATTAAGTATTCTTGAGGCTATTACAAATGAAATGTTGAAGTGGGCATTGTGGTATAATGTGTTAAGCCACCATTTGTGATGCCTGTATATCATAATGCAGTTCTGGCTCTAATCCTGACACTCTGCTTTCTATCCACTTTCCTGCTGATGGCCCTGTGAAGGCAGAAGATGATGGCACAAAAACCTGGGTTCCTGCCACTCATTTCAGACACCCAGATGGAGTTCCTGGTTCTTAGGTTTGTCTTGACACAGCCCTGACTGCTGCAGGCATGTTGGTAGTAGACCAGCAGATGCAAGATCTTTCTCTCCCTCTGTCTCTCTCACTCTGCCTTTCAAATAAAAATAAATGAATATTTAGAAAATGAAATATGTTGCTTATTTTGTCACCAAATATTCATTACTAATGTATATAAACACCATCAAATTTTGTTTATCAAACTCAAATCCTACAACCTTGCACAAAGTATGCACTAGATGGAATAGTTTGCCTGTGAATGAATATGTGTGTATGTGTGTGTATTTGTGTATGTATGAAATACTTGGGAGTTTTTATATTCAGTGTCATGTTGCCTATAAAGAGAAATGTTCTTATTTCTTCTTTTTCAACATAATGCTTTTTTTATTCTTTATGATTGACATGGCTAGGACATCCATACAAAATGGAATAGAAGTGCTAAGATTGGACCTCCTTTTCATGTTCCTGATCTTCCTGGGAGTTTTCAGTCTTTCACTATGAATATGAGGCTACCTCTGTTTTATTATTTTTGTTGTTGTATTTAACAGAGCATCTATTTTCTAGATGATAGAATATATGTGCAGGTGTGGGAATTGTGGGTTATACTGGAAAATGTCGGATGTTGTCAAATCGTCCACTGAGAAGGTTTTGCAACTTTTGTTCTTTTTCCTGCCAAAAATAATGTGATAGTCCATTCCATGAGTTATTCGATTAGAAAATTTATCTAGCTATTTAGTCAAACACTGTTCCATGTTTTCTGTGAAACTCTTTGGTAGATATATTTAACTCTTACAAATCAGTTGACTTTATTTTTTTTTTGGGGGGGGGGCAAGCCTAACCCAACCATTTGAATGGATTTAAGCAAGTTTTCCCTGAGGAAGAAAAAATGCCACTTGTGGACTGCAGTGCCTCTTCCTATTGGAGAGTTCCTAGCTTGCTCTTTCTGAAGATCTGAAGATCTGCCCTGTGGTTTTGTACTTGGTTACTCAGCCTTCACAACAATACAAACTGATTCCTTGCAACAAATCAGCGTGGTTTATAAAGCCTTATATCTTCCTCTTATATCTAGACTACTCAAAAGAATTCCAGAGAGATTCCAAGATGGTGCATTAAGGAATGAAACACTGTGCCAGGCTAGAAATAAATAGTTTTTAAAAAGTGTAAGAAGTACATGGACTCAACAAACGACTGCAGCAGCCAAGAGCCAGAGCGAGACACAGTATGGAGACAGAAGTGAGACCAGACTGCAGCAACCCATAGTGATATAGCGAGAGGGAGAGAGTGGCATGATTCCAGACTGGAACCCTGGAGGCTAGTGGTTGCTATCAGTTGCCTGTGGACCTACTGGTAGCAGAGGGGGCACTTTATCTCACTCCAGCTTACCCACTGCCCACTGTCTGCCTGAGAAAGGGTGGGAACCATTTTGGGTTTAGGCAAGAGCTACAGAAGACTTTGCATGGGTGCACAGCAACTGGGTGAGACAGGACACCATCTCTTCTGCAGTATTGGCAGCAGTGGCAGGGAGAGAGCAACATTCGGCCAGAGCCTCTTGTGCACACGTGTTATACACAGATTCTAGTGAAGGGGAAAATCCGCAGTCCTCACGGATTTTGAGCCTGGCTGGGAGGTAACTGGGAAACCACATAGGATGGTGGTAAGGTGCCCACAGCCTCCCAGGATCAAGATGCCTAGGTGGAGCTGACTCAGGGAATATCTGCCTTTCTGTTGACTGGATAGGCTGGCAGGGTAGAACAAAACATCTGTGCCCAGTGACTGTGGGAACCTTGTGTAGTGAGACCCTGGAGACTCTGGTTACATTAGAATATGCAAGGTGTAGCTGGGTCTCTGGATAATCACTGGGTGTGGCTCTACACTCTTAGAAAGTGTTGGTTGTCTAGGGCAGGTCATTATAGTGGGAATCATGCTACAGTGAGAATTGCACAATTCTGTGATTCTTATGGCAGCATAAATGAGTGCTGAACACCCAGTCTTGCTCACCCTGGAGGAGAGGAGGTGAGGTGGTGCTCACACCAACAGAGGTGACCATTCTCCTTCTGTTAAGAAGATATCTACCATGCACAGCTTTAGCATTACTTAGATACTTGCCCCAACTTGGGTCACTGACCAGATCTCCATGATGACACCTACCACAACTTATGGAATATAGAAAAAGCAGAAATAAAAGGGAAATTCATAGCAATCAGTACTTACATGAAGAAATTCGAAAGGCATAAAATATATGACCTAGCAATGCTTCTCAAGGACCTAGAAAAACAACAACAAACCAAACCCCAAATTAGCAGGAGAAAAGAAATAAACAAAATTAGAGGCCGGCACCACAGCTCACTTGGCTAATCCTCCACCTGCGGTGCCGGCACCCCGGGTTCTAGTCCCAGTTGGGGCGCCAGATTCTGTCCCAGTTTCTCCTCTTCCAGTCCAGTTCTCTGCTGTTCCCCGGAAAGGCAGTGGAGGATGGCCCAATCCTTGGGCCCTGCACCCGCATGGAAGACCAGGAGTAAGCACCTGACTCCTGGCTTCGGGTTGGTGCAGCGCGCTGGCTGCAGCCCACCAGCCATAGTGGCCATTTGGGGGATGAACCAATGGAAAGAAGACCTTTCTCTCTGTCTCTCTCTCTCACTGTCAAACTCTGCCTGTCAAAAATAAATAAAATTAGAGAAAATAAACAAAATTGAAACAAAAAATACAAAATATCAGGGAAATGAAGAGCTGGTTATTCTAAAGAGTAAACAAAATTGATAGGGCTTTAGCTCTACTAACCAAGAAAAAAAGAGTGGGTAGATCCAAATCAATAAAATCAGAAATGAAAAAGTAGGGGCCAAGGCTGTGGCTCACTTGGTTGATCCTCTGCCTGCAGCACCAGCATCCCATATGGGCACCAGGTTCTAGTCCCGGTTGCTCCTCTTCCAGTCCAGCTCTCTGCAGTGGCCCAGGAGGGCAGTGGAGGATGGCCCAAATGCTTGGGCCCTGCACTCACATGGGAGACCAAGAGGAGGCACTTGGCTCCTGGCTTCAGATCAGCGTGGTGCCAGCTGTAGCAGCCATTTGGGGAGTGAATCAACAGAGGGAGGACCTTTCTCTCTCTCTCTCTCACTGTCTATAACTCTAGCTGTCAAATAATAAAAAAAGAAATGAAAAAGGAAATGTAAGAACATATACCACAGAAACAAAAATAATAATCAGGAATTACTACAAAGAGCCTTATGTCAACAAATTGGAAAATTAGAAGAAATGGTTGGATTTCAAGACACATACAATCTGCCAAAACTGAGTCAGGAAGACACAAAAAACCTACAGACCAAAAAAGAATAATAATTGAATCAGTAATAAAGAACCTCCCAACAAAGGAAAGCCCAGGAGCAGGCAGCTTCACTGCTGAAATCTACAAGGGATTTAAAGAAATAATTCCTATTATTCTCAAGCTATTCAAAATAATTGTAAGAGAGGGAATCCTCCCAAACGCCTTCTATGAAGCAGGCACCACCTGATTTCCTAAACCAGAAAAAAATACAACAGAAAAAGAGAACTATAGATCAAAATTTCTAATGAACATAAATGAAAAATCAACAAAATACTAGCTAATCGAATCCAACAACACATCAGAAAGAACATGCGCCTGGAAAAAGAGGGATTTATCCCTGGTATGTGGAGATGGTTCAACATTCACAAATTAATAAATGTGATATACCACATTAACAAACTGATAAACAAAATCCATATGATTATCTCAGCAAAGGCAGAGAAAGCATTCAATAAAATATAACATCCTTTCATGATGAAAATCTTAAGGAAATTGGGTTTGGAAGAAACATTCTTCAACAAAATCAAGGCAATTTGTGAGAAACCCACAGGCAGCATCCTACTGAATGGGAAAAAGCTGGAAGCACACCCCCTAAGATCTGGAATCAGATAAGGATGCCAACTCTCATCATTGCTATTTAATATAGTCCTGGAAATTTTATCCAGAGTCATTAGGCAAGAGAAAGAAATCAAAGGGATACAAATTGGGAAAGAGGAAGTCAAACTATCCCTTTTGAAGATCATATGATTCTATATATAGGGGATCTAAAAATCTACTTAGAGACTACTGGAACTCATAAAAGAGTTTGGTAAAGTCGCAGGATATAAAATCAACAAGGAAAATCAATAGCTTGTGTATACATAGAAAAAGTCATGGCTGATAAAGAATTTTATTATCAGTCACATTCACAATAGCTCCAAAAATAATCAAAACCTTGGAATAATTTAACCAACTATGTCAAAGATCTCAATGAAAATTACAAAACATTAAAGAAGGATATAGAATAAGCATCAAAAAACAGAAAAATCTTCCTTATTCATGGATTGGAAGAATTAATATCATCAAAATGCCCATACTACCATAAGCAATTTATAAATTCAATGTGATCTTCACAGATCTAGAAAAAAATTATGCAAAAATTCATATGAAAACATAAGAGACCCTAAATGGCTAAAGCAAACTTACACAACAAAAAGAAAACCAGAGGCATCACAATAACAGATTTCAAGACATATTACAGGACAGTTATATTCTAAACAATATGACACTGGGCCCCCCAAAAATGGGAAATCCAAAAGACAAAATAGAAATTCCAGAAATCAATATACACATGTACAACCAACTTATGTTTTACAAAGTTCCTAAAATCAACCCCTGAAGCAAGGAAAGTCTCTTCAACAAATGGTGCTGGGAAAACTGGATCTCCTTTTGGAGAAGTATGAAACTAGACCCATACCATACACCTTACACAAAAATCCACTCAAAATGGATCAAAGACCTTAATCTACAACCCAATACCATGAAATTCTAGAAAACATTGGGGAAACCCTCCAAGAGAATGGCATAGGCAAAGACTTCATGGAAAGACCCTAGAAGCATAGGTAATCAAAGCCAAAATTGGTAAATGGATTACATCAAATTGAGAAGATTCTGTACTATGAAAGAAACACTCAGCAAAGTGAAGAGGCAACTGACAGAATAGGTGAAAATATTTGCAAACTACACAACTGATAAAGGGTTAACACACAGAATCTATAAAGAGTTTCAGAAATTC